CGCATATCCATCCGTTCGTGCGGGTTGTACGGCGCGTTGGCACCTCCTGCCATCTGGAAAGCCATGTCACCCGTGCCCATCATTGGATATGACCCGCCGGGCATGCCGTTCATCGGGAACAGCTGTCCCGGTACGACAGCGTCTTCGCCATGACTATACTTGCAGAACGCGCCGCGTGCACAATAGCCATTATCTGTGCTCGGGAAAAGAAACCATGTGAGCTTGACACGACGTGAAGGGTCCTTGCAACGCACTGTGATAATCTCGGCATATACCCCTGCCCCGGTCTGGTGGACGATATGCCCCTCGTCCATTCATCATTCCGCCACCCATACCCATATCCATCGCGCCGTTCATCCCTCCGTCCATGTAATCCGCTCGGCCGGAAATCATCATGCGACCTCGACCACCGAAGCCACCTCGGCTAGGTCGTGGATACTGCCCATCGTCGTTTAACCGGGGACCTTTAGACGGCCTAAGGTCGCTATCATCGTATTCGAGGCCGCGTTTTCGTCTTCGATCGGGTGAGTCGCCTTCAGAGGAGGTCATGAGAGCATCAAGAGGAATAGGGATTCCGCTGTCGGGTACGGCGATGCTAGACGACGTATCTGTGCCTGATGGGGGTGAGGTAGCCGAGTAGGGGAGGTATGACTTGGTTCTGAGAGCAGTGAAGAGTGTCTCGATGAAACTTGACGTTTCTGGGGCTCCCATAAGTACGTTCTGCTCAGAGACCTGTGCGTGCGACGTACCCTTCTCCAAGAACTCCTCTAGTTGAGCGTTTAGCTCCTGGCGCAGCTCGGGCTCTGGGGCGTTGTGCTTCAGCAGTGCAAGAATGTAGTCCGCCAGAGCTCCAGGTTCGGCATCACATCTAAGAAAATATAATCAGCGACGGTTGGTCTACCGGGCTTCTTCACGTACATTGGTTCCAATGACCTAACAAGCCATGGCTTAAGATGAGTGGTAGCCTCTGCGTCAAGTAGCATCCCAGACCCAGTGTATTTGGGTGAACAGACAGGTATGAGGAGGAGTGAAGGTGCGTCTGTTCAGGCGTCGGTACCAGCCAAAGCGCTTTGCGCGCCCAAAAGTAAGCACGTGGAAAAGCGCTTACAGAGCTCTGCTTATCCTATTGTGCTTACACTCACTCGCCTAACATCCGATGCCCACCTCCGAGGCCACAACAGAGCGAAAGCACACACACGCGCACACCAGTTGAGCGGGCCAGGATACACACAACAATAACGATATGTATTAATTCACTTTCACATGTACACAAAGACAGGCTATATCATGTGCTATACCGCATGTCTATCAACCAAAGACACGAGCTCTTTTGCGCATCGACAAAGATTGGCTCGAACTGTACCTGAACTTCACAGCGTACAGGCACAAATGCTAGTCAGACCTTAGAGATTTGAAGTAAAAGGTGGCGGCTGGTGTGCATGTAGTGTGGTAATTGGTGGAACACTTCTCGCAGCGGTACAGTGGACTTGAAGGTTTGCTCGAAAAGACTAAGTGAAATGACATTTATCGCGAGGAGCCCAGCTTGCGAACGCTCGATTATATCCAGTGTACACCCAGATTCCAGAGCTGCCACAGGTCAAGATGATGGCGAGGTGCCCCTCAAAAAGGTTTCTGGGTTGGGTGGGCATAGGGCGACTCAGCGACCACTAGGGGGGACGTCGGGAGCGGAGACGCTGCATGTCGACAAGGCCACAGAGGTCTGACAGCAACATTGGTGAAGAGGTCGTAGCAGACAGGGCCATTAAGATCGAGCAGCGGCAGCGGACAAAGCCGGTGGGCCACCGTCCATTCCGCACTACATTTTCGGCGACGGAAGTCGGGGGTTGTGTCAACGGCTAATGCGCCTATTCAAGGGCTGAAATCCTGCTAGTCAACTCGGTGACAGCGAGTGCGTGATTGAAGACGGCGGTACGCATACCCTGCATACGGCTCTGCCCAGACCCAATTCACTCGAGGAGCTTCGATATCTGTAGGCCCATGCAAGCTACCATAACTCGCGGGCGTAGAAGACCCTGCCTGTACGAAAGGCCCTTCGAGACAATGGATGGAGATAGTGACGGTGCGGGAGAACAAGTAGGGGTGACAAAGAACTGGAGACACCGCATGGACGGGTGAAACTGGTTGACGTCTGAAAGAGAGAAAGGTACGTGGGGGCTATGCACTGCCGACAGGGACGAGGAGGCATGCGAGAGATTTGAGCGGAGAGCCATTTTGCGGTCGTTGCCGGCAGTGTCCTTCTGCACCAGCCCGTTCCAAAAAGGGTCGATGTGGTTTCGATTACTCCCAAGTGTCAGGGCGCAGTAAACCCTGCTCGTATCTTTGCCCGGGAATAGCGGGCTGCTGTAGGCCGCTCATCACTCGTCTCCTGCCTGCCCACCACTAACTCGCTCGATGCAGTCATCTTAGATAGCCGAGCTCATGGAGGGCACGAGGCTGCCATGTCCGTTGGGCCCCCAACGTGTGCTCATTATACGCACCGTTTGCGACGCGTCACCTCATGGAACAGTGAAAGGCTATGCTTGTAGCGCAAACGGTTCAAACTTCCGCATCATGGCATGACCGCTTTGCAGGCGCGTGCACGAATGCCGAAAACACGCTCCGATCGTGCATCACCAAACACGCTTCCGGTGCGCTTTAGGACCTGACCCGTACGGGATAAAACAAGAGACCCCTGTTCTCGGGGCCACCACTTGTTGTTCCCAAACTACCACCATCACCATGGACCTCTGGCCGGCCACTGAGCGCGGCAACGCCGCCCTCACAGACGTCTTCGCCTACATATCACGACTTAGCCTCGATGACATCGACACCCTCCAGTCTCGTGTGCAGGCCGGTGACCCCGCTCTCTCGGATGAGGAGCTCGCCATGGCTCTCTTTGCGGAAGAAGCGGCTGGTCTGCTAAACGTCGCGAAGGGGCACGCCGGCCACTCTGCACGCCACCGGCCTATCGTCGAGGAGCTCGAGGAGATAGAAGCAGCAGCTCGGTACGACCACCTTGTTGCGCTCGCCATTTCCGAAGGCCGCCCTATACCTCCGATGCCCGCACTACCGCTCAGGAGAACCATTTCCGAGCCGGACTCAGACTATGGCTCCGGCAGCATAGGCTTCGCCACTTCCGACGCCGAGGCGTCAGATTCCGAGTGAGTACAAGTTTCAAACGCCGTGCGCACCGCACTTAAACTATAAACTACAGAACGGATACAGACGCCAGCTCCGTTACTCTCGTGTCAAGAGCGTCTTCGTCCCTATCAGTGAGAGCACAGGACAAGTTCTCGGCAGAAGAAGAAACTCCCGCTCTGATAGCGAGCTCATCAAGGTCAACGTCACCATCCCCTCTACATGAGATCGACGTTCGAAGCGGTGACTTTTCCGACAATGGAGATGATATTGCTGAATCGGTCGTTCATGAGTAAGTTCTGCATTTTTATCAAGCTTTGCACTAGTACCCCTTACTGATGATACTAGGTGCACCATCTGTTGCGATGGAATAGACGGACCGGCATTCGAGGCGCCTTGTGGCCACTTATTCGACACGCAGTGCCTGGAGGCGATGTTTCGGAAGGCGACCGTCGACGAGTCACTCTTCCCTCCCAAGTGCTGCCAGCTCGAGATCCCGTCGGGCCAAGCGCGAGAGCGCCTTGACATCGAGCTGATGCTGCTTTTCGACCGGAAAGCGCTGGAGTTCGGCACGGCGAATAAGCTGTACTGCTCGGAACCTAGGTGCTCTGCCTTCATTGGGCCCGCTACCGACGAGGCCTCCTGGTTGGAGTGTCCCGACTGCTCCGCACTGACATGCGGCTGTTGCAAGTCGGCCGCGCATCCGGGAACCGCTTGCTCAGATACCGACGATCTGAACAACATGGCGAAGGACATGCGCGAGAAGCAGGGCTGGCAACGATGCTTCTCATGCCATCACATGGTAGAGCTCAGTGTTGGCTGCTACCATATAATCTGCGCCTGCAAGGCGCAGTTCTGCTACCTCTGTGGTGCGAAGTGGAAGGAGTGTGGCTGTCCACAGTTCGCTGTGCCCCCAGACATTATCTAATGTAGAGTTCGATCTTTGTGAGTGGCCTAATCTCTCCCTATCTTGGCCTTCACTGATATCCATGTTCCCGTCGACAGATACATGACGATCAGACTTGCCCCTCGCCTAAGAGCCGGGGAAGTTGCGTGACGCCCCTAAGTTATTGCAGTAATACTAGGACCCTGTGGATTGTATCATAGTGTTGTACTTTAACATGCACAGCTAACGCCTGAACTTGTACAATTACTTAACGTCGATGGAGTGCTATTTAGCCTCACTATACGCCACTGCGGCCGTGTGAGCATTATTATAAGCGCCTGTATGGCGTCAAGACACCCAACTTCGTTCTGCATCGTTACCTTGAACAGCCTCCTTTTCAGCCGTTGCATATACTCCCTTATCCATATACGCTGGTCGCTCGCAATGTCTGCAGAATCTGTCGCGCGGTGGAACGCTATACCAATGGTTCGACTGGAGGCAGATAGCGACTCTGGTCCCTCGTTGCTGAAGGTACTCTCCTCGCGTCTCTGACAAATGTGAACACTCCCTGCATACTGTCACCTCCCGCATCCTCTTCCAGCGAACACGAGATGAGACTCAAGACGACGAAAGCGACGACAACATCTCGTTGGTGTCTCGTTCTCCCTCCCCACCCCCACGGCCGGACGCCATGGATACCGACAAGTATGACGAATACGTACAGAGACCGGAACGCGAGGTCATCACGGTGGACACCAAGATTGGTAGCACCAACAGAGGGTTTGCTATGCTGGCGAAACTTGGTTGGACAGAAGGACAGCCCCTAGGTCTATCCAGCGAAGGTATGCGACCTGTTGTCGACTATGTTTTCCAATCCTCATGGCGGCCTGCAGGTCGTGTCGATCCTATTCCGTTCGTTCTCAAGAACGACTTCACTGGCCTAGGCAAGGTCAATCAAGACGTCAAAATGATCGAGTCAACTGTCTCCCAACGACGCGGGCTTGATTCTGAGCGGCAAACGAGAGAGACCGAGGAACAGCGCAAGGCACGAGAAGTGCGTGTTTGCCTCATGTCGCACGCTTTGACCTCACTTGCGTCCATATGTCAGGAAACCGTCGCTAAGCGTGATGCCGTCAAAACGGAGATATCAAACGTGCTTCGTGCGTTCTACTGTGAGCTGTGCGAAAAACAGTTCCAGACCGTGGGACAGTACGACGAACACACGAACTCGTATGCCCATCACCACAAGGCCCGCTTCCGAGACATGCAGGCAGCCCAGAAGGCAAACTTTGGGGGTCAAGAAGAGATCGATAAGCGAAAGGAAAAAGAACGCAAACGAGAAGAGAAGGAGCTGCGGAAGCTCGCGAAAGCGGCTGGTATCAAGATGGCTAAACCAACAACGTCCGCCGCCGAGCCTCCATCTACGGCGCAACCTTCGGACGCGACAAGTGAGGTGAAGCCCGCTGGCCCCAAGAAGTCTGGCTGGGCCACCGTCGGAAACGCAGCAGCGCCACCTGCTGATCCTGCTCCCCCCGGGCGCGCGCGCTCAGGATGGTCATCTGCAAACCCGGCCAGTGATACTCCAAGGTCAGGCTCTGGGTGGGCACCTGCCAACCCTGCTACCGACGCGCCCCGGAGCTCTGGACGGAGCAAGGTCTCACCTGCGCCTGCTGAGAGCTCGCAGCACCCGCCATCTGCTTCAGCGCCATCCGGCTCCGCCCCGGCGTTCAGAACCGGAGGCTGGACTACGCTCGACGACAGCGTAACACGAAGCATTCCACCACCTCCGCAGCCTCATGCGCCTGAGCCCGCAGCTCCGTCTCCGCTCCCCGCTGCGCGATCTGAATGGGCAGCCGTAGGCACTGCAGCTCCCACTGCGGGCTCAGGAGTGTGGGCACCTGCACCTCCACCTCCGTCCAATCCACCTCCTGCCGCCACTCCAGTGGCTATGCCTCCAGCCACACAAAATGTTCCGCAAGGTGCTGTGCGTCAAGAGGTGTCGCGCTCCGGCTGGCAACAATTCAAGGCTGGCGCCGGCTCTAGCCGTCGTCGTCGTTAATCAGCGCTTCACAGCGTCGATTATTGAGTTTCATTCTCTCATCTTACCGCCTTGTTGTACTACCTTGTCGTTTGTTTTATTACTATTGAGAACCCCCGACTGGTTGTATGCGTTCTATGTAACAAGAGATTCTTAAGGCAACTACTAATACGGAAAGCTGGTACACATCGCGAGAATTTTGCCTGAGAGCGGACAGGTGTTCGAAGAATAATATATGAAACAAAAGAAGCGGAAGTGCGACAGACAAGAGAGCCAACGACAAGATAACCAGTGTAAGGATGATCCTATACAACCACAGGGAAAGCGCGACTGTGTGAGAGGCAACATTCACTCCGAGTCGCTGCCAGAACTATCGTCCGAGCTGGAATCCGAGGAGTGGTCACTCACACCGCCGCGTGATGTAACAGGTGCATGAGACACGCCCGCAGCTGGAGCAGCACCGCCCCGCTCGAAAAGCGCCATACGCTCTTCGAGGACACGAATCTTCTCGGCTTCGACATCCTCATCCATGGACTTCCGCTTGAGACCGCCCGTCCCCGTGCCCTTGCCGGTCCTCGCGCGCTTGGCAGGAGGCTGCTTGTTCGGTCGAATGACGAAGTTATAGAGCTTCGTCAGTACAGCCGCAGGAAGAGTGTCAATCTCAAGCTCAATCTCCTCCGTACTCTGAGGAAAAGTCAAACCGAGCTCAAGTCATGCAGAGAAGTGGCACGTACATCACGGATTTCGGGGACACCCTCATGAATGATTTGGATGACCTTCTCTAACTTCTGGCCGTCCAGCTTGCCAATAGTATCGCTGAGTTCCTTCTTCTGCTCGAAGGAGAGTACATCGTTGTCCTCAATAGGCTTCTTCGATGGCTTCTTACGGTTGACCGGTGGTGCGGTCTTGCCGTTCGTCTTCGGCGTAGATTTCGACGTTGAAGCGACGGGAGGCGGAGGTGGGCGCTTCTCAATGGCTTTCTTCTTCTCCTTTATGAGCTTCTCCCTCTTTTGTTTCAAGGACACGAGGGCACGGTTCATGCTCTCAAGTTGGGACTCAAGCTCCGTTATCTTTCCTGTGATTACCGTGACTGACATAGGCATCATCCTTGAGAGAGTAGTTTCGAGAGTAGTCAAAAACAACTTACGCTCATCGTCACTGTCAGCTTCATCCTCGTCGTCCTCATCGTCGCTTTCGGGAGTACGGCGCAGTGGGGGTAGATTCTTCCACTTCTCGTCGAATAGTTGCTGTAACTCTTGGCCGGCAGTGTTAACGGGCGTGCCTGCAGGATTGAACGTAAAACAGTTTCGTATTATAAGCTTGAAGTCGTCATTGAACTCCTTAGGCGTCGAATATTCGCTGTTGTCCAGCTTTCTCCGCATTGTGGACAAGTCCATCGGCTTCTTGATGAGTTTCGGATACGAGGGGATCTCGAGCTTGACCCAGTCTAGAATAAGCGGTCAGTTACCTGTGACAAGGAAGAATATGCTCATACAACGCACCCACTGGCTCGTAGAATGGATGAGCTATATTCCAATGTGTCTTCTTGTTCAAATCCCTCAGCACCTTGTCGCAGAACTTGAGCTGCTCCGTTACACCGCTATCTCTAGGCACCTTGGGCTTCCGCATCTTCTTCGGCGCGTCCACGTAAGGCAAGTCCTTTGGCGGAGGTGGATGGATTTCCCGCTTGGGGCGCCCAGGATCCTCGTTACGCCGGATGGTGGGCATGGCGTTAGAAGGGCGACGTTGAACAGGCTTCTTGACAGGTGGGGGCGGAGGCGGAGGAGTTGCAGCCTTTTTGACAGGTGGGGGCGGCTTCACCTAGGTATGAACATCAGCCGCAATGAGCATAGATTTCCACATAATCACGTACAACATCGGGCGGAGGCAAATTCTTAAGCTGCTTGTCAAAGACCTCCTCGACCTGCTTGCTGAGCTGAGTGATGAAGTGGTCTGTGCCGTTGAAGGCCAAGCAGTTGGAGAAGATAAGGCGAACGTCCGCGATGAACTCGTCCGCATGGTGATAGCGAGGGTTAGAGGGGTTCGGATCAGACTTCTGTGGAGTCGACGACTGCAGCTTCCGTTCGATCGTCGAGAAATCCATGGGTTGCTTGACTATTTGTGGGTAGTGGGGGATGTTCAATGCAACGACGTCAACGGGTTTCAGGAAAGGTGCAGCGGCTTTCATCTTCTTCAGCGTACGGATAGTTGACACGCAGAAGCGATGCTGTGGGACACTGAATGTTGAAGGGCCTTTTGCCTTGTTCGCGTCATAGCTGTCCTCGTGCAAAGGGGCAGGAGACATAGAGGCCGGTGGTGGTGTGGCAGTCTTCGAGATACGACAAGATTTATTTGAATTAGCACGCCCACAGCGGCGTACAGGACAAAATAAACGTACATTGGCTAATGAGGCCTGGTCTGCGTCCGAATGCTTCCGAGCTCTCTTAGCTGGAGGTGGTTGTATATCATCGTCATTAGGAGAACTATTAGAGTACGGGGATGAAGCCTCGACAGCAGGCGCGCTCGGAGATACAGCAGGTAGTGAGGTAGAGGCAGTAGGGACAGCCTGGTTGAGCGCTGGCGCATCCGCCTCAACCATGGCATCATCGGCCGGCTCGGATTGTAGCTCTTCAGCCATTTTCACATCCTGCATAAGCTCACCCTCTGGTGGCGGAGGGCTGCCCTTTGGAGGATTCACTGGGATAGAAGCTGCGAGAACGGATCAGCGCGCTGCCAGATGAACGCGTTGAAGATCAATGGTACTCACCAGGGTCAATAGGCGTGGCCACTTGTGGGATAGTAGACACATTCTCTGCTAGGGAAATTTTCATGTCGACAGGTTCGTGCCGAACGTCACTCTCCTCCTGGTCCTGGTCGTGTACATCAATCTTGACACCGGGGGCGAGCACGTCGTTGACAGGGGTGGCAGGAGAGTCAATGGCGGGAGAGTCGGCGGTATCGTTATGGTCGCCGTTGAGCGGAGGTTTGAGATCGTGGTGGCCGTTGAGATGGATGCCGTTTGTGAGAGGCGCGTCGAGCATGGTCGAGGGGGAGAGGGCCGCGGACGCGTGACAGTCACGGGAGGTGACAAAGCCAGAGGGAGGGACTCGAAGATTTGGGGGAGACAGGAGATCCGAACTGGGCTAGAGCCTTATATACTCGACCTCAGATAAGGTTCACGCGCTCGTATTGGCCAACAAATCATTATTTTTGTGATATTTCAAACTCCGCCACCTTATCCGTCTGGCGTGTGCACGGAGACCGTAACTCTTAGGAAACACGACCCGTCGCTCTATGCCTTGTCCTCCTCTTTTTTCTCTTCCTCCTCGGTCGGTGCGAACACGGGTTTCGGCTGGTTGACTCGCCAGGCTGAAGGAGAGAAGAAAAGGGGGAGAAAAAAGACAGGGCAGAGTTCAACACGTCAGCACCATAGCCGATCGCAAACAGACCAAAACAGAAAGGCGCGAGATCAACAGCACAATTTGCGTCTCTCCGCCCTTTGCGAAACAGAAACTCACCTGCTGTCCAGACAGGGTCTTGCTCTGCGGTGGCTGCATGTCTGAGCAGTGCTTCGCGAGGCTGCATAGTCGCAGAAGATGTGACAGACAATGGTCAGCGAAACGTCGTGGAATAAACGTGGGAAATCCGCTGCGGCAGACGACGCATGATATCGGGGTCTCGGTGGCAACCGACATTCCCCTAGCTCTGCCGCTCTGATGTCCAACTTCGGTGGCCTTTTGGAACATCGAGGGCAGCTCCTAGAAGGAGACACAAATTCGGGCATCGCCATTGTCCGATGCAGATGGCATGGGAGAAGGATAAGATAGACCAAGAAATCAGAACTCACATCTTCGTCGCGCGTCGTATCCCGTACCAGGTTCTGCACGACGTGCTGCGTTGCGCTTGCACCCACTCGTCCTCCTCGTCCAGGCCCGGTAACTGGCAGCTCTGGTCTCTTGCTCTTGCGTGGGTCCATACGGTCCTTCTCACGCTTTCGCTTGGTTCCCCGTGTAATCTCCCCGTCCCTGAACATCGGCAGCGCGTGGGGTGTGATGATAGTCGGCGCAGCCAGAGCATCAGACATGTCCTCGATATTAGCTTTGCGCGGCGGTCCTTTGTTGAGAAGCAGCTTGGCACCATTAACGGAAGTGTTGGGCGAGTAGAGCACGCAGATTTGTCCGTTTGCAAGCCCCGTAACGATCTAGGGCAATGTTTAACTCACCTTAGGCTGGTCCATCTGTCATGGCACGTACCTGGTTGATTTTTGCATGCCAGGCCACCCTGACAGGGGTCGTGTCTACCAGCAGCTCCTTCGCTGGCTCCAGGGTGTCCTTCTCCAGAAGCATGAGACGACCCTTGCTGCCCTTCGACGACGCTCCCGCCCCAGTTAGAACATGCTTGTCATCGGGGCTGAAGATAGCGTTCGTGGTTGAATACAATGTCGTCAAGCCTGGACGAGTCGCCAATGGCTTCTTGAACGCTCGCAGGTCCCACACTGCCGAAAAAAGTCAAATAGCGGAAATGAACTACCAAAGCAATAGCCCACGTTTGACTGTGTCGTCTCCTCCGCGGGTTAGGACAGTTCGACCGTCGACGGAGAAGACCAAAGAACCTGTATCGGTGTTCTTCATGTGCGCGCCTTCGATCGTTAGACTTGGGCGCACGAAGTTGGACTTCGTTTGCCACATATGCAGCGCTCCGTCGAGACAAGCTGGGAAGAGACATCAGCCGTCTTCATGTTGAGGTACGTAATACCACGCCTTACCTCCGCCAATGAGCGAGCCATCCGATGAATATCCACACGCGGTGACTTTAGTTCGTGCGCCTCGCTCCTTCGACTTGACAACAATAACCGTCCTCTGTTTCCGTTTATTCTCCACGTCCCAGATGCTGAGCTAATATAAGATACCAACGGGCAAGAGAATATGCATGCGCACCGGATAGTAGAATCAGCGGAACTCGTGATGAAGGATTGAGGGTCCTTAGGGTGCCAGGCGCAAGTGGTCAGTTCCGCGACGTGGCCGCTGCGACATGGTTATCAGTACCTCGTGAATAAGCTAATCTTGATTTTCTGCGGACCTGGTGTTCTTCATGTCTCGGATGTACATGTCACCCTTGACATACGTCGCACTGTCCAACCGTCAAATCATGGAACGAACCGATTTACCCTAGATTACTTACAGTTCTTCGCCCTCTCGGTCAAACAGCTTCGGCTGCGTCGTCCCAGGCATGACTAGGAACTGCTGACCATCGAGCGACCACTTGACGTCGTGAATCTGAAACGCAGACCAAGCCTGTTAACTAGAGCCGCCTATGACCGAAGAAACTAGGCGCACATAATAAGTACCCGCAGGCTCCCAAGTTTTGAACGGCTTACACCTCCAATCCATTCCACCGAAGTCCCATAGCTTGCAGTCGTAATCATGTGAGCCGCTCACAATACGGGCACCGGAGGGGTCAAGGGCCAGGGCCGAAACAACCTTCGTATGATCCTTAAGAATCAGCTCATGAGTTGTGGGGAATTCCGGCAGGTCGTCATCTTCGTCCGAGGGGTCGAATTCAGGTTCTTCTGAATCCGCAGCTTCAGCTGACGGGGGCGGAGGACCGACTTCGAGGTCATCCGCGTCTGGCTCGGACTCTAGTTCCACAGAAGGGCGTTGCGACCGGCTTAGGCCAGCTAATTCCCCATTATCTACCTTCTTCATAGGGAGCTGGTCTTGTGAATCCTGAGAATATATATTAGTCAATATGTTAGAGACGATTGCCTGCAGACAAGTGCACCTCCACGCGTTTGTTCTTGTCAAACCGGTTTGGGTCCAGCTTTTTCTGTTTCTGCTGCTTCCCAAAGCCAGTAATGCCCATCGCGGCCATAATGCTGGGGTCCATGTTTGCTGCCTACAGGATCTGTCGTTAGCTGCCGGTTGGTTGGTCTGGTAGGGTCGCTCAACGTGCGTCGTTGCTCGCAGGCCCGCAGCCCCAGAGAGACGCGGAGTTAGGTAAGCTAACAGACGCGCTTTTTGGCGCCCTTAATAGAAGTCGGAGAACCGCGCCTTCTCTTGCGCGTCCAGACACGGTTGCCGCAGCCCTCGCACATCCCCCTCCTGCACCCACCACCCATACAAGAGATACACAGTAATGTTGAAAAGACAGCGACTACCGTCCCCCCTTCCTCTGCAGTGGGACGCTGTTGAAGACGAGAAGAATCTTCCTGAAGACTTGCTCGAGCCAATGTCAAAACGACGCCGCTACTTCGCGACGGGCTCGTATGCCGAGGAACAAAGCGATGCAGAGTGTCAAGGAGATACTCCCCGAACCGAATATGGCTCAGAGGCGATAAGGCGCGAAGTCCACGCAGGTGCTCGCGAGTGGCGGAAGGATGCTGGAGAATACAAGCATGCCAATTCTCTCCTCCATGATTTGCACGCCGAACAGCGACATCGCCTAATTTTTTCTGCCACACCGAGCTCGCCATCAGCCTCACCGCATCTCTGCGAAGAGATCAAGCCGCGAAATGTACCGCGCTCGCCACATCCGGCGAGTCCTCCCATTGACTTCGGCACGGCCTACGATCCCCCTCGTCCCTCCGATGACCCCGTCTGTAAGCGAGAAGGGGAGGGCATACTCGCTAAAGAGGCTGAAGTAGTCTCCCAAAGATATGCTGAGGTAAACCGGTGCGTGTTTCAGGCTCCTTTGCCTCTGATACACCGTGACTAAAGTAGTCACATAAGGCTGTTACGGTCCCTGTTCCTCAACCGCAGACCACGAGATACCAACGATTCGCACGGAAATTCGTAGATTCCAGCCTTATCAAGGTGCGTCAGGCCCTGGTGTGGGCTCAAACTCATTTGACTGACTCCTCTCACCAGTTTTGCTTTCGGACACCTGTGCCATCCTCGGCTCGCTGATTTCTCTGATTCACGCACATCATAGGCTATCCTTAGCGCTCGCACACATACTGTATTCCATAGGCTGTATAACTAATCAATCGTCAGCAGACTTTTCGGTCAGGTCATGACTGAGTTATATTGTGGTTAAGTCGTTTTACTCTCGTGCCTCGCGCGAACTGAGTGAAGGTAGATGAAGCTGCAAACGAAGAGACTGGCTAGCTGAAGATTGAGTAGTTCTGTTCATATGCAGTCGGTCACTTTGTCGATTTTTACGGCGACATCACGCTTGAATATACTGCCAAGTTCTTCGCTCAGCAATTGGCCTAAGGACCTGCCTTCTCGTAGATAGATCCACTGATCTTTTTCCGGGACATAGTCGTAGCGTTTGGGACCACTAAGACCAGTGAATCAGCGCTATGGAAAGCTCATGTGTAATGGCGGAATGCACCTCGTTGGTGACGAAAGCCAGATTTGCTTGTTAGGAGGCTGCTTGTTAATGACGTATGTCCCATTCTCGCCCAACCTGAGAGTGAGGACGCCGCTCTGCACACACAAAACTTGGTCATAAAAGGACATGGACAAATGGACCTTCCAACTTACACTGTAATCTACTTCATAGTCAGGGTTTGCTTCTTCGTCTAGCACATTCTCTAGAGAGTCGAGCATGACCTCCATAGTGGCATCGGAAAGTTCATGGTATTGGTCCATGGAAATGTTGTCACTGTCCACCGAAAGCGAGACACAACAGTCTACTCAATCACGTCAGTCGTATGGATACCGCCAAAATGACGACGTACTTGTTGATAACTTGGGGTGGCGGCGTGGCATAGTGCCTCTTATGTATGGATGAAGGACCTAGAACACATGCCCGAGGGAGCATATGCGCAGAGACAGCTACGGGCAGAACCGCCTGACGCAGTGCGCCGACAATACGAATAGACATCCGCACACGATTTCTTGAGAGAGTGGTTCTGAGCATCTCAGCAGAGCCTGGAGAACTCGCCGTGTCAGTTCTGCCGTCGTGAGGGTTTGAGGGCAAGCGCGTACAGGATGGCGAGAGCTCATGCCGAGATGATGACGCTTCCTCATTCGGTCAAGATCGGCGCGTCCTCCCGGGGCTTTCAACAAATATATGACGGGCTTTTCCCACCCGAAACGTATGGTGAGGGACGGAACTTCATGTCAAGCTGCAATTTCGCCCGGGAGGGCGGCAAAATGCGATTTTTGAACAGTGGCCTAGTTAAGTCCAAATCTCGACGCACAAGAAAATCGAAAAATCTAACCCTAACCCTAGGAAAACGGCCAAATTCGCCCCTGGTCAACGGCTCCATACACCTTAAATACCCCCATAGAATGCTCTAGAGAGCATCAATTAACCTTCTTCACACATCCGGGATACTTCTCTCTGCATCACAATAGTCCTACAAATGAGGGTAGACCTCCGCTGTCGTCGACACCTACCACTTGACCTAACCCTAGGTGGAGCCGAGCCCGAAGCGCCCAATAAGCGCCCAATTACGTAATCCTAAACAGCCAAATAATGACTGCAAAACCTCAAATTTCGGAAATGCAAGGATCTGTCCCGTGGACTTTATAACCGCCTATCCTAGTGTCCTATTGCATGAGAAGTTGACCTTTAATGTGTCGTGACAAGTGAGCCTTAGCGGTGGGAAGGTTGGCCTCGGGCACTCGTCATAAAGTCCCGTCCCCCACCATACATTGAAACTTGTTCACACACGTAGACACCATGCGCGGCCTATGAATTGTGCAGACATGTGAATACATCGACTGGCCAGTGAGCATCAACCTTCTGCACACCGCTTTTATATAACACAAAAGCATCAGCATCCGGCGAGGATGTTGCCGAATACTGGTATGTACAAGCAAGATGGTATACTGAACCAGACCAGGTAATCTGGTCACTTGTGCGGAACAGTCGTCTGCTAGAAAGCGCAGCCGAGCTGTACATGAGGATACTTATTATAGCACAGTTCATCCCCGTTGCAACGGCATATTTGACATGGCCGAAGCTTACGACGACTTGATGCCCTCCCGCGCGGTCCAGTCAAGCCAGGAACCCTTGTAATTGAGAATGCTAGGTAGATGTTGGGTTTAGACGCAAGCTTTACCAGGGCGGGCTTACTCACTTGGTGTAGCCGTTCCTTTTAGCGATATCGCAGGCCGATGCAGAGCGTTTGCCACTCCTACAGTAGAAGACAATTTCCTGATCCTTCCGGGGCTTTTCCCACCCGAAACGTACTTTGAATTTTTCGTGATGCAGATGCAGGGAGTTTGCAAGAACGGACAAAGGCAAATTCACCGCGGATGGGATTGAGCCCTGGAGAACCTCATCCGGCTCCCGGACGTCAATTAGGTATTTGTCCTGAACGGCAGTCAGTAGTGGTGTGTAAATAAATCCTAGTTGTCACATTACCGGAGTAGGCTGCTCTGTTCTTGGCTTCAGCTCCTCGTAGGTCAGTTCCTTCGCGTCCCAGTCCCTCTGGAGATCATCCTGACGCCTCAGCCACTCTTTGCGACGATCGCGCTGCTTCTCTGCTTTTGGCTCCTCCGCAGCTGGTATCTCAGGAGTCACAGGCTCTTCCACCTTCGTAGAGTTGTAGCGAGCGTGTTTTGCGGCCGTCAGCACCTGACATGGCACTACAGAAGCGTGAGCGACAGGTCTCGTCGCAGACCTAGGTATAGCTCGAGAGACAAGGGAGCGGAGCATGATGACGCGAGGAGTAAAAAAGACTGTTCAATAGTAGTGGAGCGAGTCTGACGAGAGGCAAGGACAAGGACGAGCAACTCACGTTCGTCGTCCTGGACTGGTGAAGTGAATATTGGGTGAGTATTGCTGACTGATTGACATCACAATAGTCGCGTAATAGGGTGTACGCTTGGGGTCCAGCGGCATGGCGCTGTTCACGTGGGGGTTCCCAGGGTCACGACTGCGCGGCATTTTGCTATTGGCTATCGCTGAATTGCCTCAAGGCTCAAGGCACTGCTGCGTCGCTTACTCCTCGCACCTTCCCCCCTTTGTGCAGCCACCCGTCCCGCCGTCTGGCTCACCCTCCCTTGTCGCCAACGATCCTTGGGGACCTGGCATAAGTGGGAGCGTAGTTCTCAGCAAACTTATGCTCGGTCCTCAACGAGTCTGCACTTCGACCGCGGCGATGTGCTCGCTTCGGTTGCTGGGGTTGCAGATTTGAATCGTTGGCTCAACAGCTCCACTACGAATTCATCCTGGGCGATGATCTCTACATTCTGTCAGACATATGGTAAGTTTGAAGATGTCGGTCGACTGACATACTTTTCTACAGACGGGTAGGGAACGTGCGAGCGCAGTTCTCCTAATCTGACCCTACCCGCTGTCTTTTAGCTTTTAAGACTAGAGGTCTTGTCCAATATCGATGGTGGTACACTCGACGTCCACAAACGTTATCTCAAGGCACCGAGATTCATCTTGACGACCCTTCCCCCAACTCGCACCAAGCGCACAACTTAGCGTATCCTCGTGCGAACATACACCCAGTCTGCCAATCTTCTCATGTCGACGTGTGCTTCGTCCCGATAGCTCTAGACATTCGCAGCATGATCTACTGGACAGCTGACCGCAACACTCAACCCTGTAGGCTCTGCCCACGAACCCTTGACTGCGAGCCGGATTTGGTATGTTTGGCTTTATTTGATGCTCGGCAACCACCGACGCTGCTGCCATATCTGCGCAAGCGCCGTGCGCTGAGTGACGCTCTCTCCCCCTCGCCGTCTCGTCCCAGCTATGTCGATGTCAATGTCTTCGTCTATGCCTATGAGCACGTCGGACACTAGTATGTCCATGGACTCGATGATGGTCCCCTGGTTGCACTTCACCGGCGGCGATAACCTGTTCTTCAAGTCTTTACACCCCTCCTCTCATGGAGCAATCGCCGGTGCATGCATTGCGCTCGTACTTCTCGGTATCTTCGACAGATGGCTGTCTGCTATGCGAGGTGTCGCTCAAGCGCGATGGGTGCAGAGGTGAGCCAGGACCCCTCTGGTCTAACTGTGCCTCAACATCGGGATTATTGTCGTAGTGTCCGTGCAATGACCACTCGCTCTCCCGCCTCGAGCCAGCCCGGCATTGGCAGCGACTGGGTGCCGACGAAGGAGGGCGAAAAGCAGATCGACGACGTCAAGCCAGTTCCCTCTGAGCGTAGCTCCCTCGTCAACAGCGCCCGCGTTTCGCGTTCATCCCCTCCTTTCCTCCTTTCTCACGATGTTCCTCGCGGAATCGCATTTGCGTGTCAGGCACTCTTGGGCTATACTCTCATGCTTGCCGTCATGTGGGTGGCGACTTGCTTAGTGTGTGGTTTTGTTACTGTGGCTAAACTCCATTTGGTTCCATAGGACGTTCCAGGCGGCATACATCATATCGATCCTGGTAGGCCTGGGAATTGGGGAGGTTTTGTTTGGGCGATTAGGGAGTGCGCCGGGTCACGTTGTTCACTGAGCCTACCTTCTCCTTTGTCACTGCTCGGTTCCTCCTTAGATAGCTGGATCGATTGTATTGTGTAGTGGATTGTAAACATGTTATGCATTCTCTGAGATCGGAAACGAGCATTGTGAGACGTACAGTTCGACCAAGCTTTGCGCGATGTACGACGACCTGTGTGCTAGCGTTGTCTACAGCGCAGAATTCCTCTGTGCCTGAGTCGCCGAGCCCATGAAAATGAAACAGCCGCGAAGGAACCGCAGTTCCCGCCGTTCAGGGAGTCGGCCAGCGAGAGAAGCCAAATACGGCCAAATACACGTGAAAAAACTTTTTCATCCTGCTGGCGTCCCTTTAAAGGTCGAGCAACTGGCATCCTTTTCTTCACCTCCACGGGTGCACGAGATCCTGCAGAACAGTTCCCTAATTACGAGGCACAATGTACTTCTCTTTCGGTGTTGTCCTTGCTGCTCTGCTCGGCATTGCCTCTGCACACTTCCAACTGCAGTATCCTCCTCCCCGTGGACCCTTCGTCATGTCCTCGGAGCCCACCTTTTGCGGTTTGTTGTCCCTTCATTTCCGGTGTGGCAAAGCGTCACTCACAATGCCATTAGATGGCTATCAGAACTCTGTTAGCAATCGTACCGTGTTCCCGTTGAATGGTGGAAGTATCTCTCTCAACAGCGAGCACCCACTGTGGACACGTGAGCTGCTATCTTCTTGATGAGCATATGAGACGAATCTGACTAGTTTTTCTTTTGTCTTTGCACAGTCGGAGTTCAGCTCTCCACGCTTTCTAACCCGCAGAACTTTGGCAACTTTACCGAGGCCGTGCCATGGGTCCAGGTTAACGGCGAAGGCCTCTACTGTTTCCCGGTAGACCTTGCAACATCCGGCCTTTCCGGCGTTCAGGACGGAGCTAACGTCACCCTTCTGTTCGTATTCGATGGTGGCGATGGCGAGCTTTTCCAGGTATCTGGCACCCTCCTTCATATACTGTATGTGCAACACTGACGAGGACTGCTAATCCAGTGCGCCGATTTGACGTTAAGTGCGAACGCCCCCGCAGCCAGCTTCACGTGCCAGAATGCCACTGGTGATATCGCGACAACAATCGCTGCGCCATCTTCGTCTCCCGCAAGTAGCACCGGCGGCTCGGCTACGTCGTCGGCGTCGTTGTCGTCGACCGCGCCTTCCCAGACACCAACTGGTGCTGCCTCCTCAAATGCCGTTGTCGGCTTCACTGGCCTGCTCAGCCTCGTTGCCATTCTTGCTGTTGTGTAGATATCTTCAGGTCGGGTTGCAGGGTGTGTAGAGGTGATGAGGAATTTGTACAAGCTACTATCCAGCTTCATGAGCATGTAGGACCATCACTCCTCGGCCAATGCGATGATGAAGTTGCTGCTGTATGCGTCTCACCTCTGACGAAACGACACTCGTTGCACCTGGCATGTGTTTTCGTGGGAAGTTCCGCGCATCACTATTAAGCGCATCGGAGTGACGTCCACCGGGTCACTCCGGAAGAAGAGTGAGGTGGCAGGTATCAGTGCTAGGATCGTTGCTGTGGCACTAGTCAGTACGATCCTGGTGCATGTTTTTACCAACAGCTGCATGGTGTCCTTGTTCGCTGCTTGGACGACTGGTGCCACAAGGACTTTGCATGTCTTCAAGAGTCCAACAGGCGCTAGGGACAAGGTCTGAGCATTGTGGCGGCCACGTGCAATTGCCGCCCAACAGCCGCACCTCCGGAAAGCGCCAGCCTCCTCGGTGAACAGCCCCGGCCACAGCAGCAGCACCGGTCACTTTGCCGAGTCATATGAGATGTGTCAACAGCAGCAGCATCTCATTTATGTGCGAAAGATTTCTCTCTTGTATACGTGGCAATGCTCAACTATAGATCTCTAGTCATCACGTTACGTGGCCTCAGTAGGCCGAGTACGCTATGCGTCATTTTCCACATCGAGATATCATGACGACCAGGAAACGACATGAACCGGTGGCAGGTCTGCCTCCAGCGGTACCGGTGGTCACCGCCTTACCGTTTCGCCACGCCCCATCACGGCAGTGACCCCTCCTGGTGTTTCAGCCCCTCGTACTTGCACAACGGGGTGTCATGAAAGCTGAGCTGACAGTTTTCGACGTAGCAGTCTGC